CAGCTACGTTAATAACGTAGCTGAATTCGAAGTACCTTAGTTCGAACTTATCACGGGTCCAGACGCGGCAGGCAGGCTCCCCCGTCGATGCCGCGTACTCCTCTCGCCGAGCTGGAGTACCGGCGTTGACGGCGAGCACATCCAGGATCGATTTATCGCGTCTAGACAAGACGCGATAAATCGATCCCAGAAGATCGATTGCTTACTGCTGGACCCGGAGGTAAGTGTAGACCTACCCTGAGTGCAGCAAAGCACATAAGCACATGCTTAACTTTAAGGACATGAATAGTCTGCTGGTGTCAGTGGAACTACTGACATGCTTGAATGCTTTTCTGGGCCAAAGTGCTCAGCATCTTGCAGGCTTGAGCCCACATGTAGTAAGAGACCATGCCTGACCTGAAGAGCTTACAATATATAGATAAGACAGACAAAGGATGGGAGAAAGGAAGCATTATTCTCCTTTTACAGGTGGAGGAGAACTGAGGATAAGAGATTAAGTGACTTGCCCAATGTCACACAGGAAGTCAGTGACAAGCTAGAAACTGAATCCCCGTCATGTCTTAATCACAAAATCTACACTCCTCTAAAAAAGTAGAAATCCTGTGTAATTCACTTTCTAGGAGTTGAACTTGGGCTTCCTAGGTGAAAAACAGCAATCCTAACTGCTAGACTACATGGAAAGTGTGTGTGTGTACAGTATACACCCGCATTAAAATTTGATTCCACTCCTCCCCATACATACATTGCCCCATTTTTGAGACATAAACTTTTGGTATCTTAGCTCATCGTCATGTAAATACAGATGATGGACTGGCTATATATGCATATGTTTTTCTTATTTTTTACAGTTTCGACTCTGATTCAGCAAAGAACTTAAGTATCTGCTTAACTTTAAGCATGTGCTGAAGTGCCAGTGATTTCAATGGGACTTACATACTTAATGTGTGACGTGTTTAAGTGCTTTGCTGAGTTGTTTCATTGTTTTCATACATATACAATCCATAACAGCAAAACACAGATTAGGTGATAGATAGGCTTACACAATTTTGGCCTGCATCTAAATTTACCATGTTCCAGACATACTGTTGTTGCCTTTTATACATTACCAGATTTTATTATATCACATCTATTTCCTTACAAACTCCAAGAAAGGACTCAAAGCAAAAAAAAAAGCCTTTAACTCAAAAAAATCCTACCCACATTTCCCCCCACTGACATATATTGTGTCAGTGTCATTCCTTCTTCCTTGTTACTTAAAATGCATTCAGGAATTCATTTCCATACCCCCATCATGTGTTTTTGTTTTGTTTTGCTTTCTTTTAGTGATCTTTATGCATCCCGTATTATGTTCAGAAAAAAATGTATATTTGTCCAGCCTCGCTGGTGCTATAAATCAATCTTTCCTAAAGGAAGGGGAGCATAAGCTCCTTCTGTTCATTAAGTAAATTCCATGCAGTGTTTTTTTCAGCATTTTAACAAAATCCACTTCCTAAACAAAGTGGCAATGTTTAGCTGCTCATTCCCCTAAATGGCTAATAGGAGATCCTGTTCATGTCTATTAAAGCAAATTCTGGCACCTTTTATCTAGTAGGCCCAAATTTCAATGTATAGAACACAGCACCTTATTCCAGGAGATCATAGGCCAGACTATGTTCCCTTCATTGGTATCGGAGGGCATGTTCCTCTATTCACACATACTCTCCAATAGCTGTCATTTCCTCCCACACTCATTTTTAGAAAGTGACAGTAATTAATGCATCCTATGCACTGTTTTATAGGAACTTATCCTTCCCTGATGTCTAGCTGCCTGTTCCCAGTGCAAAACCGTCGATCTTCGTTGTAAAGTCAAGATCTATGGGTGAAAAGTATTATATAAATGCTAAGTGCTAAGTTAAATATAAAAACTTTTCTGAGCATTCAACTTCCTTCCCACGGTTTTCCTTAAAGTTAGTAATCTTATTTGGACTGCCAAATTCAAAATAAATAAAATAAAAGTCCACCGCTTGAAGTAGCTGAGAAAATGCAAGGAAATGGTTGAGGCTGCTAAAATTGGGAGACCTATCATTAAGTGGAAGTTGTATTCTGAAGTAATGAAATTAAATCTCTTCAGAAGTCTTGTGTGAGGAACCCACACTGCTACTGAAAATATTTCAGCTAAATATTTTCGCTTACCTTCATACCTCACCTCTAAAAGAAATATCATTAACAGCTGAGCCAACCCAAGAGAAAAGGAACAATTTACAACAGTTCATTCTGTCAAAAAGTGAGACCTATTTGTTAGTTGGGTTTATTTAACATAATTTTCCTATTTTGGAAAAGATGACAAGACAGCTTCATTGACAAGTTCCTAGAAGACTAAAGTGAAAAGAAAATGTTTGGCTCTAGGTTCTGCTTTAAGATAGATTCTACTTACAGCATTTGGGAATGGTGCTCCATTGAGGGGGAAGGGAAATTACTTTCTGCTCAAGATTTTAAATATTTAAAGGGACACTACAAACATGATTTTTAATTAACTAATTTAAAAAATCCAATTTTTGCTAGAGCTTCCTTTGAATAGTATGTCCTGAATTAAAAAAAAATAATTAAAAAAAAATCTGAAAGGGTTTTTTTTTGTTCCCCTGTTGATGTTTTTAAAGAGAAAATTACTAAGGGTTTGATGCTACAAACGGTTACACAAATAACTTTACAGATGTGAGTGGTTCCATTGAAGTCAGTGGAACTACTTGTATGAATCAGGCTACTCGTGCATACATGTTTAGAGAACTGGGCTACATGAGGGAAACAAACTGACAATACACAAAGATACTGATTCAGCAAAGGTTTATGCATGTGCTTAATTTTACTCACATGAGTAGCCCCATTCTAATGAAGGGATTGTACCCTTAATTCTCAAAGTCAGTCCCAGAGTCAGTCACTCTGGGAAGAAGCCGTTCTGCCATGCTTAGTAGTAG